ACTTTTTTGGTACATTATATTGGTTTTATTAACGAACAAATATTAATGCAATAATTTAATTGTAAAAAAAAAAAAATTTTTTAAATTAAAATTAAAAAAAAAATGTATTATTATTTTTTTTTAATTTAACCTCCTTTATTATATACGTAGGTCGTTTAAGAAGACCTCAATCGTAAAAATGATATAATTATAATAATAAAACTTAATTAAGAAATACTTTGCTAAATATCTTGAATTTTTTTTTTTTTTATTTAACATTTGCAATTTAACACTGTGTTTTGTATATTTACTGATTCTTAGAGGTAATTAAAATTTCTATATACTTCCCAGGAAATGAATCATATTAATACCTGTTTTATAAACTAAAATAATATATACCTAATCTGAACTATATATAATGAATAGCTACCGGGTTGTTTAGTAAAACTCATATATCACTAATTAAAAAATTAATTTTAATTTCCTTTATTTTGTGCGGAAGTTGGACTATATCATAAATAAATAGGAAATTTTAATATTGAATGAATTATTCTCTCTGCACAAAGAAAGAGAGAAAGGGTGACGCTATAAGTTCTTCTATAAACCAGAACTGATTGTTTGTTTTTGGTATCAAAATGTGGAAAAACTCGAAATTGAACCAGAAAATTGGAAAAATACATTAAGCGAACGAGAAAGGAAGTGCCAAAACCTTGGAAAAGATAAAAAGGACCAGTATCCATTATATAGCTAAATGAATGTATAGTAGGCAGATGAACAGAATATTTAAAGATGCTGCTAAAAGGAGGTCAATTGCAGTTTGGATGATATTAAATGGACGATGTAGGTTTATTATGATGAAAACGACTTTATTTTCGATTGCTGAAGGTGCATATCGGGACTATCTTCACTTTGAAGCAGGATATAGAGAGACATATCGAGAAAGTTATAGCTCATAGCTCTCCTTCTGTTTAGTGCATTTGCAAAAGATTTTTTAAGGAATCTTATATTAGTTATTGCTCGTTATTGTTCAGAAATTGCGGGATAAATTTTTCGGAATTTGTACCATGTCATAAAAAAATAGGAAATTTTAATATTGAATGCATTAGTCTCTCTGCACAAAGAAAGATGGAAAGGGCAAAACCGACCTGCTTCGCAGTTTTGCGCGAACATAGGCAGCAAGTATTTTAGAAAATGGTATGAAAGGACTGTGGTTTTTACCTTTACAAGGAAAGGAGGTACTAGGAAATGTAATACCCATCAAGATCCATTCCTGTTTAGTGTACCAAACAAATTATACTCAAGAATCGTAGAAGCTGGAATAAGAAATATTGTTGATTGCCAGAGCGATATGGATTGAGAAACTCTAGTTGCACATTGGAAGAGAAGTTGAAAAGTGGGACTGTCTTCACTTTAAGGCAGGTTATAGAGAAGTCCATATAAAAAGAAAAATAGCTCTCTATTTGCTTAGTGTCTCACACTTTGGATTATGCTAATATCTAATTGTCTTTCAGAAAAGCTCGTTTTCGTTTTAGATTCCTTAAAAAATCTTTTGCTAATGCACTAAACAGAAGGAGAGCTATGAGCTATAACTTTCTCGATACGCCTCTCTATATCCTGCTTCAAAGTGAAGATACTCCCGATGTGCACCTTCAGCAATCGAAAATAAAGTCGTTTTCACCATAATAAACCTACATCGTCCATTTAATTTTTTTAAAATTTTTTTTATTTATTTATTTAGACATATAATATTCTGCCACAGGGACAATAATTATATTGATAAATGAACACATTCACACCGTATATACAAAAAAAAAAAAAAAAAAAAAAATTAACAAAAGTAAAATAATAACTAAATAATAATAAGTAAAACTATATACAATAAAAATAAATAAAATAACCTAAATACAAGTAAATTAAAAACAAAAACAGTCACACCTATATACAATATATACAATCAGGCGGGGAACCCAAATCCCCGCGCAACTCTCTCAACCGCCTCACCGGTGCTAAAGCCGGTGGAGTTTGAGCGAGAGAGCTTTAGCCACATACATTCATGTCTTGAGTGGAGAATCTGGCCATTGCCAGAACTCCAAAATAAATACTATAAAAGATCTCTAGGCCACTGCCGCTTCAACCTTCAAGGAGGGTTGTAGGGATGAGTTCGGCCAATTTTCTGGTTCAATTTCGAGTTTTTCCACATTTTGATACCAAAAACAAACAATCAGTTCTGGTTTATAGAAGAACTTATAGCGTCACCCTTTCTCTCTTTCTTTGTGCAGAGAGAATAATTCATTCAATATTAAAATTTCCTATTTATTTATGATATAGTCCAACTTCCGCACAAAATAAAGGAAATTAAAATTAATTTTTTAATTAGTGATATATGAGTTTTACTAAACAACCCGGTAGCTATTCATTATATATAGTTCAGATTAGGTATATATTATTTTAGTTTATAATACAGGTATTAATATGATTCATTTCCTGGGAAGTATATAAAAATTTTAATTACCTCTAAGAATCAGTAAATATACAAAACACAGTGTTAAATTGCAAACGTTAAATAAAAAAAAAAAATTCAAGATATTTAGCAAAGTATTTCTTAATTAAGTTTTATTATTATAATTATATCATTTTTACGATTGAGGTCTTCTTAAACGACCTACGTATATAATAAAGGAGGTTAAATTAAAAAAAAATAATAATACATTTTTTTTTTAATTTTAATTTAAAATTTTTTTTTTTTTTTTACAATTAAATTATTGCATTAATATTTGTTCGTTAATAAAACCAATATAATGTACCAAAAAAGTTATTATATCACTATAACTAAGCCATTTATGTGCACTGAATGGTGTGGTAGAGGCCTTTAGGCCCCCACGCCAGTACCGCTTTTCTGCCGCATAAGTCCGTTTTCTACGCAACCGCTTAAAATTTTTAAAAAAATAATCAGCGTTTTAGAAAGAGAAATATATTCTCCAGATGTTTTATTTCAGCACGTTTTGCGTTATTGTAGGCCGTTTAGTTACAAATGACGCTTGATTTGTAACTTGAAAGTTTTTTTGTTAAAAAAATTGACTTTACTGGTGTTTTTCATAGCCTAAACCAATTATTTTTTAACATTTCTTCATGTTTTATTAGTCTAAGACTATTCAGCTTTAATAAAAGACCAACTATGAAGAAGTTAAGCCAAATGCTGATTCTCAGTGACCAAAAAACTAACTAAAGTCAAAGTTGTCAATCCGCCATCTTTGGACGCCATTTTGGGGCAGTGCGTTCACTTTTTTTTGTGGGAACATTGGCTTTTTTTTAATAAATAGTTACAAGGAACACAACGATATGCAATTTATAGGGATGTGGGGGCGAGGGGGTGCTCGGTAAAGGGGGTCTGGTCCACAGGCTAAGAGTTCTTAAATTGAAAATATTGTTTCTACACTACAGAACACCCACATACATGCTACAGATTAAAAGATCACTAACTTTATATTTTGTTCAGGTAACCTCAATTTTAAGTACAGAGTGATTGGACTAGAATTAATCAAATCTTTATATGCATTATAGTTTATACAGATAATTCAAAATAAATGATATTAGAATTAGAAGAGGACTGAAGAATCCTAAACAGGATTTGGAGGGAGGGGGAGGGAATATTTAGGTATATAATGCCAACGTTTAGTTGAATTATAGGAATTCTATTTGGTATACAGAATTTTTTCTGGTATATAATGCCAACGTTTAGTTGAATTATAGGAATTCTATTTGGTATACAGAATTTTTTTCTGATAAAATCATGGGAAAAGTTAATAGATAATATTTTCTATGTGTAAAACTTGAACTTAAGGATGGACACTCATTCATATTTCATCTCATAAGAGCTATTAATATAAGGCAGAATATTGAGTAAAGCATTTACATTTTTTGATTGCAATGAAAATTAATATTTAACGATTTTTAGGAATATGAAAAATGAATATCATCTTTTATGCATTATTTTTATATTTTTGGGTTGAATCTCTACAAAATACTATATTTTGTGCATGTAATATTACTTTTTATACCTGCCCAATTTATAAAAAAATATACTGTTGGCATCCAGCAATAGAATTAGTACAATATTGAAACAATTGATACCGAACTGTGGAGTAAAGTCTTTTCAAATATTTTTCTTAGAAAAAAAGTTGAGATTTGTATTTCACACTTCGAAAAACCCTTAAATATGAATTTTCATACCAATCGAAAATAAAAATGTTTTGCTCAAAATGTTTACCAAGGCTGAAGCCTTAAATTTTTTTTCGAAAATCACAAAAGTTGTGATAACTCCGACATGGCGGAAGTTATTCACACGGATATTAACATGAATTTGGGGTCTTATAATATAATGAACTGGCACAAACGATATTTACTCAAATAAATTAGGAAAAAAAAGGTTCATTAAAATTGGTGGCCCCACGTCCGTAACCTCTTGTTGTTAGACGCATCTTCAGCCAACTTTTCTATTATTTGATCTAAGGTCAACAACAATATCTACTCCATAAAGGGAATATAATTTGTTTTAGATATTTCTCAACATAAGAGTTATAAGTATTAATTTATTATTAGTGTTAGATAATTATTTTTGTATTCAGTTTTAAAGACACTCACTCCTAGACAAGAGCCCTTATGGCAGCTATGCCAGGCAGGGGGATAAAAATAAAAAAGTTTTGAAGACATTGTCAATCAAACCTAGTAAATACTAAAAAGAAAAGGATATAGTCAGTTGGTCACCGATTACAACCAATTTTTTTTTGGTGATACTACATTGAAAAATATTGGACACATATCTCAGGATTCTTTGCAATGGGTCCTAGGAGCTGAGACACAAATGCCGGGATATGTTTCTAATATTTTTCGATGTAGTATCATTAAAAAAAATCTGGTTGATATTGGTGACCCAAAGACTGTATCCTCTTCTTGTGAGATATATCACTGATCCTTATTAGTAGGTTAAGAATTCTGTTTATTAACTGTTTGAATCATTCTAGGGTTATTATTCAAGTTGACAAGATAGCCAACTATCTAACCGTAATTGACAAAGCTGTAAATAAAGGAAATGTCCAGCTTGTTATGTGTATTATAAATGCAAGTAGGACTGACTTGTATGCTGCCATTAAAAAAAAATGTCTCTGCGATAGGTCAAGTATGTAATTTTATTTATATTACTTAACTTTTAACACATTGCTTACCATGGTTTAGTCGATTTAATTTAATTATATTATTAAAAACTCATACTTTAATAAATAGTAATAAATTAAAAAGCCCTACAAATTTTATTGTAAGGGCAAAACAAAATATAAATTCAATTCAATTAAAAAAAGAATTTTAAGAAACAAGGACAGCTCAAAGTTTCATAGGTAATAATTCAATTAAAGAAAGCATTTTAAGAAACAAGGACAGCTCAAAGTATCATAGATAATCTTGAGTTTGTCAACTTGTCAGATCATACTTAATCATATTTAATTTGATCAACATTCATCATTCTCAACATTTTTTTTTTTTGCACTTACATTTATTTATCCGCACCTGTCAATTATAACTATTGACAATCAGCAGATGTGCTGGCACAGTCATGAGAAAAAAAAAATAAATAAAAAAAATAAAATAAAAAATAAATAAAATAAAATAAATGGCTTGATAGGCATGAGGAAAAGCAATACCCAGCAGCATCCTTTCCATGGCTTTTACTTACTTACATACAATTACGTAAGTAGGTCCCTCATCCAGACCCTTTTCAGTCGTCTTCTGGAGTTCTCCGCCATAATAGTAGTGGCCATTTCATTAATTAGCTAGTTGGAGTGTCCATGTAATTTATTATGGAATCGTTTGTAGTAAGTTCGTATGTGTTCATTGATCGTTGGCATGTGTAAGTCAGTGTGTAAAGTGTTATTATTCATGTACCAGGGTGCTTGGGTAATTAGTCGTAGTATCTTAGACTGAAAAGTTTGAAGTCGTTTTATGTGTGTTGGTTTTGCAATTCCATATATTTGTAGTCCATAAGTCCAGAGAGGTTTTAATAGGTATGTGTAAATATTTAATTTCTGTCTTGCTTTTAATTTAGAATGTCGTCTTAGTAATGAATGCAATAGATTTAATCTGTGATTTAATGATGCACGTTTTTTCTTTACATGTGGACCCCATGTCATTCTTCTGTCAAACGTCAGGCCTAGGTATTGTACTCTATCTGTTTGTGGAATCGGTATGTTGTCTAAGTATACAGCAGGGCATGTTTCTAGTCTTAGAGTAAATGTAATGTGTTGTGACTTTTGATAATTTATTTGAGTTTTCCATAGTTTACACCAATCGTTAATTTTTGTAAGTGATGTTGTAGGTTAAGTGATGCCTTTGTAGGATTATCGTGTCTAGTAATGATAGCAGTGTCGTCTGCGTAGGTTGCTGTAAGTGTGTGGATGCTTTGAGGAATGTCATGTGTGTATGTTATGTACAGTAGTGGGGCTAAGATTGACCCCTGAGGTACGCCAGCTATGATAGGTCGAATTGAGGATAGACCTGAACCGTGCCGAACGGAGAAAAATCTGTCTGAGAGAAAGGAGTGAAGAATTAAGTAGTAGGTTGGTGGAAGTATGGTCTTGAGTTTGAAGAGAAGCCCCTGATGCCATACTTTGTAGAAAGCTTGAGCGACATCCAGAAATACTCCGGTTGCATATAGTTTTCGCTCTAGTGCTGTCGATATGTAGTCAGTTATCCTGTGTAATTGTTGTGTTGTTGAATGTAATTTTCGAAACCCGAATTGATGGTCAGGAATAATCTGTTTGTCTGTTAGTATATTTAATAGTCATGAGTATAATAGTTTTTCAAATAATTTAGAACACACTGGAAGCAAACTAATCGGTCTATATGAAGAAGGATTGTTAGTTTCTTTATCTGGCTTTTTAATCATGGTTATATGAGAGTATTTCCATTGTATTGGAAATTTTGTGGTCCTAAGAATGCAATTGAAGATTGTGGTGAGAAACACTAGAGCTTTCCTTGGCATTTGCTGGAGCGCCTCAGCATTTATCAAGTCATGACCAGGGGTTTTTCTTTTCGGTAATTGTCTAATTTCTTGTGCAACTTGTGATGGTGTGAAAGGAGGTGGTGGTAGTGTGAGCTGTAGTGGTATGTCTAAGTTATTTTGTACGAAAATATCATGTTCTGTATTAACGAAGTCCGTATGTGATTTAAAAACATAGGAAAGATGAGTAGCAAAGAGAAAGAGTTCAGATCTTTCTTCGTTCGAAACAGCCCAAGAACCATCCTCTCTTCGTAGGGGTGCTGACACCTCACGATGCTTTAAAAGATTCCTTGTGTGTCTCCATAAACTTCCATCGTCTGTCGAAAGGTTGTTAATAAAATTGTCGTTAGTGCTTTTGAATTTTTGAATATGTCTTTTAAGTTCGTTGTTCAATCTGTTAAAAGTTTGTTTGTCTGAAGGAAGTCTATTAGTCTGCCACACTTTTCGAGCTCTTCTCTTTGCCCTGATTAAGTCCCTTATGTACATTGGCTAATGGGGCAAGTTCACTGCTCTTTGTGACCTAGATGTTGATGAGGACCATGCTGCATCTTGTATACTTTTTATAAAAGTTTCAACGGCTTCTTCTAGTTCCCCTTGATTTTTAATTGAACCTGGAACAGAAATATTGTTGTTCAAATAGTCTCTATATGCGTCCCAGTCCATGCAACCTGTTATGAGCTTAGGTCTCTTTTGTGCTTCAGAAGGCGCGTCGAAGAGAACCATGTGCACCGAGGAGTGATCAGAGCAAAGATCAGAGCTTGTATTGACGGCAAAAGGTACGGTTCTAAGTCCTTTTGTAATAAAGAAGTCAAGTAAGTTGGGAGTTTTGCGTCTGGAGGTGGGCCAATAAGTGGGTGAATTTGGAGTTATCGTGTCTAATGAAAGTTCATGGAGGACAGACCAGAGATTTCTGCCTCTAGGAGTAGACAACCTTGAACCCCAGCCTTGATGCTTAGCATTATAGTCTCCACCTGTGATGAAGCATCTTCCGAGACGTTTGAAGAACTCAGAAAACATCGTGGGTGTAAGCTTGTACCTAGGGGGACAGTAAACTGAGGCAAATATTATAGCGTAGTGTTTAGTGTATAATGTTATTCCTGTTGATTGTATGTCGGGTGTAATGGGTAAGTCTATGGGATTGTGTTTTAGTGATTTTTTTACGAGTATCGCTGTTCCTCCATGTGCAGTTTTGTCTGGATGATCAGTTCTATAAATAGAGTAATCCTGGCTGTAAATTTTTGATCGAGGTGTCAGGTGTGTTTCAGTAATGAGTGCTACGTCAATCCGTTTTTTGTGCAAGTATAAGTCAAGTTCAGTACTGTGTTGGGTCAGTCCGTTGGCATTCCACAAAAGAATTGACAGAGAATCCACAGTTAAATTATTGTGGGACATAATTAGGGCACCAGACCTGTGTAAACTGTGATAGCTGTTGAAGAATAATGAAAAGGGGCTGGATTAAGTTATTTAACCCATTAATGATATTAAATAACAGGGAAGAGCTATTATCTACCGGAGGTACCGTCTGGGTAATGTCTCCCCTCATACCTGTACATATTTTTTGGTTCTGGGGTGCTGAGTTCGATGATGGTTGATTATATTGCTGCTGAGGTCCAGCGATGTTCTGTGGTTCCGCTTGGTTGATCCGCTGCCGTATTGGAGGGAATTCATGGATGTCTGGAGGTCCCTGCGCTGGCTCTGCTACTGTGGGACGCTGAAGACGGTTTCTCGCATTGCGCTGAACCCTGAGATCTTTCAGCGTCTGGCAGCCTCTGTAGTTAGCCGGGTGCTGACCACTGCAATTGGCGCACTTAGCGGGAGTCTCTCTAGTTTTTTAAACATGAGCTGCTTTCGTGATATTCGCCACACTTCACACAGCGTGGTCGATGATTGCAATATGTTTTAGTGTGCCCATATTGCTGACACCGAACACACTGAGGAATACTTCGCTTCTGACGTGGTTCTTCGATTTTAATGTGAGAGTAATACAAAAACTCAATTTTAAAAATGTCTTCTCTGAATGTCTCTTTTGTAACGTCTACGAAAAACATAGGAAGAGGTTTTTTAAATCGAGATATTACGTTTACCACATTTGTTACTTCATAGCCCATATTTTTAAATTCTTCTCTGATTATCTCGACTGGTGTTCCATGATGGAGATATTTAACAACAACTCTTGGGCACCTGTCCTGTGGGAGTTGGTAGGTGTGAAAGTCCGCGCCTTTATTTCGTAGACTTGAATTTAATTTGCGATATATATCAGGTGTTTGTGGGTAAACAGTGACATCTTTTAATGTTGATTTTGTCTTAAATGTATTAGGGCCAGCTTCATTTTCTAAGAATGAAATTAAAGTATGATAATTCTCCACACCGTTTATAAAAATTGGTGGAGTTTTATCATTTTGAGGCGGTTGTCTTGTTTCTTCAGTTTGTGAGTTCATCTTGGTTAGAACCTCAAAACTGTTAGAGGTTGGAATAGGTTCTGCTGGTCGTTTTTGTGCTCTTGGCTTGCTTGAATCTGACATAGATCTTTTACGACCAATAACCAGCTCCCAGGAGCCAACGTCAGTGTTTGTGTCACTATTTGCTAAGTTCATATTGCTTACCTCCTCGTGTTGTGACCGTTCCACCATCGTTGGCGGTGAAATCCGCTCAACCTTTGTTTTGTTTTTTGTCTTCAGCTCTGTTGTCTTCAAAAAACACTTTTGCTACACAAAAAAATGAGTATTTATACTAAATTATCACTTTTTAGAAGAAACAAAAGCAAATTAACCTTTATCGTTGTTTAACATCAACAGCTGTTCCATTCTCAACATTTAACTCCATAAATTTACAATTACTCCAATACTTCTGCATATTGTTGAAATGTATTTTAATAAAATTTAGATTGACTACTTTTTAAAGTAACTATTTTCCTATAACAACAAAAGAATATTTTTAAAAAAGATTGCATTAGATTCATGTGGTCTAAAGGGTGTCTATATACATATAACATCAGAAAGCATTTGAAGACAAATTAATTTAGTGCAACACAGGAAGAAATAGTATCTATAGAAAAAATATTAGCTTGCCAATTCATACTCGACTTTATTTTAAAATCAGTGTTTAATTTTAGTATAAATAGTGTAAATAATAATAGAGTTGATCTGATTGTCAGTAATCCATACCTGAGATAAATAAATATATTAATTCTCTTATAATTTTGTTTTTTATTTAACAACCTCTTATATATATATATATATATATATATATATATATATATATATATATATATATATATATATATATATATATATATATTATATTTATATTTCTTTTGGAAGTATCCTAAGGGTATAAAGTGATCTTCTGAGGTCATATTATTATTATTATTCTAAAATGTAAGAGGGATGTTACAATATATATAAAAGCGAAGAAGGAAAAACCACTAGAAAAAAGAAATTCTGCGATCACTGTTGAGATAAAAAATATAATAAGAAACTGATGAAAACATTATTTGGTGGAAGAATGGAAGAAATATGTAGTTAACAGATGAAGAGAGTTGCACTAAGCCATTTATTAGAACCGAATGAGGTGGCAGAGGACTGTAGGTACGTATGCCAGTGCCGCATTTCAAACATCAAAGTGCATTGTCTAAAGAACAGTTTAAAATATGTTAAAAATTAATCAATGGTTTAGAAATAGAAATTTATTCTCTAGATGTTTTATTTCAAAGCATTTTTCGTTATTGTTTGCCGTTTGATTTTCAACTTTCATTTGAACAACATTAAAAAATTGACTTTACTGGTATTTTTTATTGCCAAGGCCAATTATTTTTTAAAAATATTTTGATGTTTCGTTATTCTCTGACTATCCAGCTTTGATAAAAGACCAATTATGACGGAATTCAGCCAACTTCTGAATCTCAGCAACAGAAAAACTAACTTAAGTCAAAGTCATCAATCCGCCAAATTTGGACACTATTTTGGAACATAGGCTTTTTTTTTTTTTTATAGTTAAAGGAACAAAACGATATGCAATTTATAGTGTTGTGGAGGAGGTGTAGGGGGGGGGAAGAAGGTCTGGCCAATGGACTTCCCTCTCACCAAACCTTTCTCCCCCCTCTATCACTCCTTCACAATGTTAAAATGAATAAATGTTTACTTTACTGACTCATATCAGACAGGTTATTGAAAATAAAAGGGTAATTGAAGGCAGTTGCATATGATCAAACATGAAAAATACCTTAAAATTTTCCATACTTTGAAAACCTGTATCCTTGTTAACTATTTGATTTAACAAGCCTGTTATGGTCTTACATTGTTGCACATGTTGTCTAGTTTAAAAATGTATGGTATGGTTTTTGTCAAAAAAGTGCTTTTTTATGGATAAAATTCAAAAATATAGCAGTTTTTGGGATATTCAAAAGTGATCCAGTGAGGGGAAGGGGAGGTCACCAAGATAAAAATTTTTTTCTATCTCAATATAGTGACATATCTTGCGCGTAAAAGACCACAAATAAAAGGAAAAAAAACAATGGAAATTTATTTTAAAAAATTTTAATGTAAAATAAATCAAATGAACATTTTTTAAACAAAAATGAACACATGTCATTCTCTTTTAATTATTAAATCTGAGTCTCTGGTATCTATTGTTGCCTCCATTTTCTTGAATAACAGCCTGTACTCTTATAGGCATATTACAAATAAGGTGATTACCTGATCTTGATTGATGTCCTAAGCTGGTTCCGAAGATGCTTAACTTGAACAATTTAACTTATTTAACATTTTAAAAACTATTCTGCATCCAACTTCTGGAAGATGGGGAGAATGAAATAGAAAAACTGTTCAAATATTTAAAGAGTATTCAATTTTATCAACGAATATAAAATGGAAACGACCCTTTTAGTGGTAGAGGCTAAATAAAAAAAAAAAAAAAAAAAAAAAAAACTATTAACAGCTTCAACAAAATTAGTGCTCAACACATCAGCATTGTGATATATCGATTATACCAATTAGGGATTGAGTTGTATTAACCTAACAGTGTTATCTTTTATGATGAATAAAATAGTTGTGTTCACTAATATTGTATTTTTGTGCTTTAGTATTCCAAGTACTTAACAAGCATCATTAAGGTCACATTTTCCTTTATGTGAATATCTTTCTTATGTTTTGTTTTCGAACATTTTATTATTTGGTTCCAAATTTAACTTATCAAAATGTCGGGACTTAGAGGGGATGGAAGAAACATTTGAGAGCTTGGAAGAAACTTTTCTCACATTAACTCAATTTACAAATTTCTAACTTAATAAAGAGGGGTTTCGTTTAGTGGAGCCAAAGAAGAGAGGGCAGAGCATCAAAAAGTGCATGAATGTTTAGTTAATGTTAAAATGTATTTCTCAATCTCCAACTCAATTTAAATATGGAGCGGAGTGGCTGAACAAGCTAACACATTTCTGACAATCTGCTAAACAGAAGTTAACAAGGTACAATCATTACGAGTTCCTGTTCCGGTGCCGTAGAAGCATGTAACTGACATTATTCCTGCCCTCCCCGCGGGGGGAGAATTTCAATTTAAATACAAGATCCATTTGAAATAAAGGGACTCCCTTAAAAAAAGTAATAATAAATGTATATATTAGATGTTTCCCGAACTCCCATGTTTTATGTGTAGACCAGTACTCGAATATACTTTTCATCAAATAAAATAAAAAGTGTAACATGAGTATAGGTTGCAATAAGAGCTTACATTACAGTATAGACAGCTGCACTAATTATTTTTAATATTAAACAGAGGAATTTACAAGTCTGAAAAAAACGAGAAATGTATGGAAAGTTTGTGGGGGAGAATCTCTGAACATCCTGTTAAATCGCACATATATTTCAATGACCTTTAATTTTTGCCAAAAAATTTATACAAATGATTGTTAACATACACAACGTTAATTTCTTTAAGTATTCTAATTAATATCTTTTAAATAGTTAATTTGTTTTGTTTTATTTTCATTTGGTTTTAAAGTTTAAATATTGAATTTCAGATATAATATTTTAATTTAAAAATAAAAACAAAATCAGCTGTTTTAATTGGCAATGTACACTTAGTCATAGTGTATGGGCTCGATTGTTGTGGTGTGCATTATAGTGATTATTACAAATGTATTAAAGCCTCATATATAGACAAGTGTTAAGTTTTAAGTGTTATGCCCGTGGTCATTGTGGACTGTCCACTTGCAGTTTTACAGAAAAATATGAGCACTGACACTATTTATATGAAGTCACAATAAGAAGACTACTTTTAATATTAGTGATATTTCGTTAGTTTTAACATAAGTTCTAGATTAATTAATTTTGGGACAGTTATGTAGAAATAAAATCATTTCTTTTATTCAATATTTCTGCACTGTTTTTATTTATCATTATCTTTAACTTTTCTTTGTTTTCATCTATTTTTATTATCAAGCTAATGTATGATTAGTTTTATTTTTTTATTTGTTATGAAAAAAATAAATTATTAGTTCGGGTTTGTGTTATTCATACAGTCCATTATTTTTATTATATAATTTGTTCCCTTTTTCTTTTTTTCACATTTCTAAGGTTAAGCTTCATTCTTCATACTATTTGTATTACTTGCATTTTACTTTAATTTTATTGTTTTTATTGTTCTTAGAAAAGTTTTCAACAACCAAATTTCCCAATAATATTTTGTCCACAATATGTACTTTGTCCTTGTGTTAATTTTATATTACAACTTTATTTTGTATTTTGTAGTGGCTTCTCAGGTGATAGCAACTAAAACATTAGGGCATAAAAGTCTGCTCTCAGTTTGCTCAAAAATTGCTATTCAGTTGAACTGTAAACTGGGTGGGAGTCCATGGTACACTCCTCTCCCATTTAAAGTAAGTTTTCCATTTTTTGTAATTATATTTGATGATGTTTAAAAAAAATAAGATTGTCATGACTTATTATTTCGTTTTAAATATGTTTTTTAAATTGCTACCATTGTAAATTACTACCATACTCCTGAAAACCCTATAGCAAAATTAAGGAATTCAATTTGCCATTGCAGCTTTAAATTATTTCAATCTGATGATTTGATCAGTTACACTACTGTATCACTGAAGCATAAAAAAAATACATATGATACGTATGTGGAGTTTGCAATGAATCGGCATGCGGCAGAGGAGAGTAGTTGTACAGCAGTGTGGGATGAGCCAAAAGGATGGCTGGGCTTTCACTTATCAATAAATCTGCTTATCCTCATCATAGAACAGTACCTATGATATTATTTTAAAGTTATATCACTGTTCAATGTAATTTTAGGTCTAATCTAAGAAGACCACCTACTACGCCTACCGCCCACCTCTGAACGCCTTCTTCAATCGGTCTTTTACAACATCCCACGATCTTTTTCTCATCTGCATGGATCAGATTCATCACACTCTGCATGATCCGCCAAACTAAGGCCGCTTTCAGCACTTCTACGTCTCCTGAATCGATCAAGTTTTCAGTCGTCTTGGCTACTACCTGTGCTATCAGTCGATTGTCTCGTTTGAGAAAATGATTTAATTTTCCTATTGAATCTTTCTAAATCTGATGTGGCCTTTCTTTGATCCTGAGACGTTGCTGTCTTATTTCATCCACTCAAGAGCATTAGCAGCCGAGACCAGATTCTCCGCTGGTAGTGTCGGGATTTCCTACTGTATTGTCAGCACTGGCGGTCGCAAAATTCTCTCCGTCATTGTTATTGGTGAAAAAAAATTGGAAAAGTGAAAAATAATTTTAAACGTTAGAGGTTTCGGCACCACTTAAATTTGCGAAGGCAAATATAAATATAATGCCTTTATAGGAAGACGAATTGACCTCGCAAGACACTTTTGTAAAAAACTCTTTTTATTATTTTTCCATACCTTTAAAAGTATTGTTTACTATTAACATATGAGATTAAGCCTCATATTCTTATGCTGCTAACCTAACTTATAAAATAATCAATATAAATTCAACAATATTAAAATTCTATATAATTAAACACTTTAAGTATGAGTAAAATATAGTTTTTCTAATATGTATATTTTTTGTTTTAGGATGACTTGAAAATGAAAGATGGTGTAAGTGTCCAGTTATAATTCACATTATTACTTCTTATGACTTCAATTTTTATTGAAAATCTAATTCTTTGTTGTTATTTTTTTTTCAGACTGTAAAAAAGGAAACAGTGAGTAAATACTTAGATATAGCGTATTTGTTATTTATAGAAAAATGATCTCTTATTATAAATGTATAATTTTTTCTTTAGAATAAAAGTAATTATGATTTTGATTATAGGCACATGCCTGTATGGTAGTTGGGTTTGATGTATGTCACGATACAAGAGTGAAGGGTAAATCAGTGGGTGCAATGGTAGCCTCCCTTAATTATAATTTCTCAAAATTTTACTCAGCAGTCAGTCGGCACAGCCTAGGAGAGGAGTTGTCTAATGACATTGCTAACCATGTATCTCGTAATTGATTTATTTATTTTATATTTGCTACTTAGTCTGAATATATATATATATATTTTTTTTAAGTTTAATTTTTTGGGGTATTTTTTTTCTAGATGCAGTCCTAAAGTTTGAAGAACTCAACCAATATTTACCCCCAAAAATAATCATGTTTAGAGATGGGGTTGGTGAATCAAATATTGGATATGTTATCGACCATGAGGTTATGACAATAAAGGTATTTTTTAATAATAAAAATATACATAAAATAATCTATTTTAAATTTAGCCTTCTCTGTTTTTTTATAAGCAGAAATCAGATTTTCGATCTGATTCAAAAAAAGGAGGCCCTCAGTTCAGGATGTGAGTGTATAAATATTTTTGCTTTCAACTCACAGTTACTTATGAGATTGTTATGCCTTTGACATGTATAATATCTACAACAAAACTATATAACCAGATCGCATAAGTACTTAAAAGGAATTTTTTTTATTAAATCTTTTGATTGAAAGTTCTTATTCAAGGGGTGTGAAAAAGTTATATACCAACTTTATCTCTTCCTTAAAACATATTTAATGGGGTCTGGTTAATCATGTTTAATATCTACTATACATGCATTATTCTTGTTTATTGACCAAATCAGTGGCTTTGTACATCTAATCTTACTCTAGATACCTGTCAAGTTATTAAATAATATCAAATAAATAAAGTTGTTGAAGGTAACGGAGAGTGACAAAAAAATTATAAATAATAATGTCTGAAAACTAACATTATTTAACGTAATGTTTAATCACATGTTTCCAAGGAAATTAAATGGAATTTTCTTACTAAATGTAAACTTTCAACATTTTTTTTTAAGTTTAAAAAAAAGAATTAATATCCTTCGAAACAACGCAATGACATTGTTTAATAGAATAGAATAGAAAAATAACTTTATTCTGGGACACAGTCCCTTGAGAATAACAAAATAGAACAAAGTTAAAATATTACATCTGGCCATAATAAAATCAATCGAAAAAAAGAAATGTAAAAAAAATATGAGGTAAAAATTCTATGTACAAAATAAATTAAACTATATACAAAATAATTAATACTATGACAAGACACTTAAAGCTAATTGCACTGATAGACCGGTATACACTTTTAAGAAAATAATAAAGAATTAAAAAATAAAAATGTATCAAATTCTCTATTGAAATCAGCTCGAATGGTTAGCAACTATCTGACTGTTTTTGGGATAGGAATTGGAATAGGAGGGTTTTGAATGTGGATATGGATGGGGAATGTCGAATTTTGATAGGGAGGGAATTCCAGAAATTGACAGAGCGAACAATAAAGGAATTTTGGAATGAGGCAGAGCTGCGAGAAGGCATGTAAAGGTTAGAAGGTCGAAATCTTGTGGACAGGAAATGGACTGAGGATTTGAACTGGAGAAGATTGTAGGAGTAAGAAGGACGATGGTTGTTGATGATTTGGTAGTGGAACGTACCTAGGAAATATTGTCTTCGGAAGAAGGGGAAAAGCCACTTTAACTCAGCGTAGTGGTGAGAAACATGAGAGTATCTTGGGGCCCCAATCACAAATCTTACGCAGCTGTTCATTAGTCTTTTCAGTCTATCACGGAGCTCCACAGAGAGGCCATCATACACCACACAGCTATAGTCAAAGTGGGGAAAAATGAGATAGGAAACTAGGAGTCTACGCTTATATTGAGGCAGGAGATGGTGGAAGCGATGGAATAGTTTGAGGGTGGAAATTGTCCGTCGAGAGATATGAGAAATATGGTGATTCCAAAAGAGGTTTTGATCAATGAAAAATCCTAAATTTTTAACAGTGGAGTAGAAGGAGATTGGCTGATCATTAAGGTGAAGGATGGGAAAGTCTGTATGGGATCTAAGAAGGGGCTTGGAAGCAATGACAATGGCCTGAGTTTTGGCAGCATTTAACCTTAATCCATTTACATTTGCCCAGGCACTGATTCGATCTAGGTCTTCTTGGATCTTGGCAAATGCCTCCAGTAACTCAGGAGGGAAAAATGGTAGGTATATCTGTGAATCGTCTGCATAAAGGTGATGGGAACAATGGAGCATTGATTTAGGTAGGTCGTTAATGTAGGAGCTGAAAAGGAGAGGAGATATGCTTGAACCCTGGGCAACTCCAGAGGATAAAGAAAGGAAGGCAGATAGTGGTTGGTTGGGTATGGAGACTGCTTGGGTACGTTGTAAAAGGAAAGATTGAAACCAAGAGATGGAACTATTGGAGAAAGATAATAATTTCAGTTTGTTGAAAAGGATGGAATGGTTGATGGAATCGAAGGCTTTGGAGAAGTCGAGAAGGATAAGGATAGTTAACTTTTTATCATCTATTGCAGTTTGAATGTCGCTGGTGATTTTAATTAAGGCGGATTGTGTGGAGTAGCTGGGACGGAAACCAGATTGGAGATGATCAAGTTGGTTGAACTTTTCAAGGAAGTTGGAGACTTGGGATTGCACCAATCTTTCTAGGGGTTTTGAGAGGTTGGAAAGAATTGAGATTGGGCGGAAATCTTCGTGGTGAGGTTGGATTAGAATTTTTATTCAAAGGAAGGACAATGCCTTTTTTCCAAGATGTAGGGAATACTGAATTCTGAAGGGAGAAATTGTAGATGAAAAGAAGAACTGGGAGGATTTCAGGAAGACATAATTTTATGAATTTGACAGGGATGCCATCAGGTCCTATGGAATTGGTGTGGGATTTCATTACAGCGGTTAAAAGGTCTGTGGGAGAAATGTTGGAAAAATAAAAGTTATTGTCATTAAATGGTATCTCTATAGGAAAGCCGGAACAGGGGGATAAAGGAGAGGTATTAGCAACAGATATAAAATACGAGTTTAGATCATCAGGGGATATTGGAAAGGCTGGGGTAGGGGATCTGGAAGGATCACAAAGGGAGAGTTTACGAAGCAGTCGCCATTTTGATTTTATGTCAGGAGTTGAGGAAAGGGCTTCGTGGAAGTAGAGGGATTTCGCATGCCGGATCCTTGTTTGTGTCAAGTTGCGAAGCACCCTGAACGCTAGGTAGTCATTTGCAAGCCTAGTACGTCTGAAGCGTCTACGAGCAGCGTCGCGCCTCTTCTGCAGGTTTTTAATTTCCTGACACATCCAAGGAGACGAACGAAAAGGAAACCTGACACAGGCCAGTGACGAAATGTAGAGGTTTTGAGAGGGGCATGGGTATTGAGGATATTTAGGAGATTGGTAGTAAGAATATCAACCATAGAGTCGATAGAAGTGCAAGAATATATTTTATTCCAATCTAGGATTTCCAGGTCAGGTAATATTTGTTCTCGTGTAAGGGAATCTAGATGGCGGAAGGTGATAGTTCGAGGCTGAATAGGAGGAGTTCGGATATTATATATTATTTGTATCAGATCATGAGATGACAAAAAGGATACTGGTACTTGGGAAGAGGAGAGGAGGTTTTGTGCAGAGTCTATAATATAGAAATCTAGCCAAGTGTCAGACCTGCTAGTATGGTGAGTGAGAAAAAAAGGAACGATGAAGAGGTGAAGGGAGAAGAATAGGTCTTCTAGATAGGATTTGTCATTAGAGTTAGATAGGAAATTGGTATTGAGGTCACCTGAGATGATTATTCTGGGATAGAGGTAAACGAAATTTAATAGGCTAGATTCAAAGGACGTGTGAAATCGAACAAGAGGAGGACGGTATACCACAGCGTAGAGGAGATGAGAAGTATTACAAAGGATTTCAACTAATAGGTATTCTATTTGTGGGTGGTTGGAAGATGGGGATAAATCGAGGATTCGGGTCTTCAGGCTATTGTGGACAAATATGGCTACTCCACCACCAGTCCGGCTTATCCGGTCATGACGGAAGAGGTTGTAATTAGGCAAGGAGATAGAAGAGGAGGGGATATAAGGTTTGAGCCAAGTTTCGGAGATAGCTATAATATGGTAAAAATTTTGAGTGAAATATTGCAGGAATTTGTCATAGTGGGCGGGGAGGGATTGAGAGTTAACATGGCAGGTGATTAGGGTACTAGACATGAGAAGGATTTGGAAGGAAACAGTCTGAGTTCGGTAGAGAAAAAATAAAACAAACAAAAAATACAGAAAAGCTATTACAATTAATGAAAATAAGAAAAAAGAAAGTGTTTAAAGAAACAAAAAATAGAAAGCATATAGTTAATAATACATAGGCTAATATGTGAAAATGGAGAAATACAACTGAAAGCGAAAATCTTTCTTTGAAGGAAATTTTGTCAATAGTTACTTTGATAAGGATGAAGGGTAGACGAATTCTGTGTAGTCAGGTAAATATATCGAAGTCCGAGGCCTGTTCGATCAAGATTACCTTATGTCCGTCTTCTTTTCGACATTGCACCTTTCCAGCTGCAAACCAGCAATATTTGATTTTCCTCGCTGCTTTCTTCTGTCGGGCAAGCCAGTATAAGTGCCTGTTCATGTGAGTCATCTCCTCCCCCAGATATATCCGGTGGCAGTCATTCTCCTGCCAACCGATATCCCGTGTGGAGAAATCCCTCTTGACTTTTCTTTTCGATATTAAATCGTCTCTGACTGATTGCCTGACAAATCGCACGATGACAGGCGGCGGTCGTGGATCATCTTTCCTGCTTCTGCGGCGATGCACCATATCCAGGTCTTCTGCACTAAGCCTGACTCCCAGGCTGGCTCCTATACTGGTCACCAGAGCGGGCGGGCGTTTCACCAGCTCGTTCCTGTATCCCTCGGATCTCCAGTGATCTGGATAACAGGCCCTGTTCTGCATTATTCAGGCGAACTTCTAGTTTGCTTCTAGTTGAGGGCTTTATTCTTCAAATTTACTGGCTTGACTTTCGAGGTGTTTTTCAATTTTTGCTAATCTTTCATTTACCTCAAAACTGAGCTCCCCATATTTATCAAAGGCTGTTTAATGTTTTTTACGTCTTCGTTCACACTTGAATCTAGATGATTTTTTTTTTTTTTTTTATTTTATTAATGTTGGCTTTAAGCACGTCGACCCCTTTGGGTCCATTGTGCGCCAATATTCACTAGGTCGTTTTATTTAAAACGTTAGTCCTGTCGCTTCCGCGTATCTAAGTAGGCTGGTTGGGTTGACCGACTCAAATCTACTGGGGAGATCCATCTGTTCCTCCCCAAATACCACCAGTCTCAGCCTTATAAACTTGTCACATCTGCATATGATGTGAAAAGCTGTTTCATTCTCCTCCTGACAGAATCTGCATAGCGGATTCGTCATTACTCGGAGATTGAACATATGATTATTTAACTTACAGTGACCTGTGTAGATCGCTGTAAGTTTTTTAAGAGCTGCTCTGTCCATGTTCAGTAGCTGTTTACTTCTTTTTTTACATGGGCCTTCAAGGAACAGCTTCGAATGTCTGTTTCTTGTCGGTCCAGTAATTCCTAAATTTGTTCCCATAGATCTCCCTGATCCTGCCCTTGGCAGTACTGAGGCTGATTCCACAGACAGGCTCGGGAGTTATAGGAATAGTATCTGAGCCCAACCTGGCTTGCTCATCAGCCATCTCGTTGCCTGGTATGCCAGAGTGGCCTGGCACCCACTCCACTGCAACTCTATTGTGCTCAGTCAGCTCGTTAAGTGCTCTATTGCATTCCTTAACGACCTTTGAATAAGCATAATAATTGTCAAGAGCACCTATTGCTGCCTGGCTGTCAGTAAAGATGGTGATCTTTTTCTCAGTCACATTGGTTTGCAGTAGGTTTTGTACACAGTGGCAGATTGCCAGTATCTCGGATTGAAACACTGAATCATACCTGCCAAGTGGTATAGAAATTTTTTCTTTTAGATCTTTGCGATAGATGCCAGCTCCAGAGCCGAAGGCTGTTAGAGAGCCATCTGTATAGCAATTTATTCCACTATTTGGTTTATGACTTTTGCTGCTATCTATCTCAACCTTATATTTTCGGTCCTGATATTCTCGGATTAGAGTGTCAGAGTGCATAGCTAGCACTCTTTCACTTCCAATCCTGTTCAGCAGTATTGTGTGTCCTCCCTGACAGGGGACTGTTGAACAGTAAGTTGACTTGCTTATCCTGTACAGTGTTGCCCGAGCCTCCACCTCCAGCTGCAGCGGGGGGGTGGGGGGTCATGCCGAGCATCACCTCCATAGCAGCCGTCCGTGTCGTGCTCATTGCGCCAGTTATCATTATACAAGCAAGCCTTTGAGTCTTTCCTAATAAGGATAAGTTGGCTACAGTCTTTGCTTTGTGCCACCATAGCAAAGCTGAGTAAAATATGATAGGTCTGACTGTCGTTGTGTACAGCCAGTATACCATTTTTGGTTTTAGTCCCCAATTCTTTCCTATCGCTCTTTTACAGGCCCATAGGCATTTGAGGGCTTTACTTGTCACGTTTTGAACGTGTTTAGTCCATGTCAGTTTATGGTCCAAAGTGACTCCAAGGTGTTTTACTTCCTTACTCAATGTCACTTGGATACCATTGATTTCCGGCATTTTTATAGCCACCTTCTTCTTCTTAGTGAAGATACACACATTGATTTTCCTAGGGTTGATGCTTAGTCCTTTAATCCTGCACCAATTCCTAAGAATATTGAACACTGTACTGAGGATATCAGAGAGGACACTCTGATGCCTCCCTCCTATGAGGATGGCAATATCGTCAGCATATCCCTGAGCATAAATGCCTGCAGTGTTTAAGGCTTCCAATAATGAGTCAGCCACAAAACACCACAGTAGCGGAGAGAGCACACCTCCCTGTGGACATCCCCCACAGGGTTTAATCCACAGTTCCTTGTGCCCTATTTCTGATTTTAGAACTCTGTCCTCCAGCATTCTCCCAATCCATCTGGAGGTCATAGCGTCTATATCTTTTTTCCTTAGCGCATCATTTATGATGTTATAGGGAGTTCTATCAAAGGCACCCTCGATATCAACGAAGACGCCTATCATGATTTCACTCTGTTCTAAGGATTTCTCAATTCTTGTTACCAAGTTGTGAAGTGCCACCTCACAGGATTTTCCTGGTTGGTAGGCATATTGCTTTGAATGTATTGGACTAGTAGCCAATATGTGTTCCCTAATATGTCTGTCCAGTATCTTTTCCAATGTCTTCATTAAGAAAGATGACAGACATATTGGCCTAAATGCCTTTGGGTCTTCATAAGATTCCTTTCCTGGTTTAGGAATGTATCGCACTTTGGATATCCTCCACTTACATGGTATATATCCCAGTGCTAGGCTACCTCTTAGAAGTTCCAGAAGGTATGGCCTTATTTCTGGGAGACCTTTCTGCAGCAGTGCTGGAAAGATCTCGTCCATTCCAGCAGATTTGAAAGGAGAGAACGAATTCACTGCCCATTCAAGTCTACTGTTTGTTATCACTCTTCTTGCCAGACCCCACATACGTGCACCAGTACCACGATCCTGTGTATTGGGGTCAAGAAGTTCATTTACTGTCGTAAAACAATTTGGGAAATAAGCTTTTGCTACCACACTCAATGTTTCCATCTCATTCGTGGTGTGCTTATCGTCATATTTGAGTGTTCCCATTATACCTGAATTGGTTTGTTTTGACAGTATTTTGTTTACCTTACATACCGCCGGCATGTTGTCCACCTCCAGACAAAACCTTTTCCAGGCTTGTCTTTTGGCTTTCCTGACAGATTTGTGATACTCAGTAAGAGATTTCCTATAGGTATCCCAATTGCCAGATTTTTTAGAAGCATTGAACAATCTCCTCATGAGTGTTCTTTGCTTTGTTAGACTATCATTCCACCAGGACACTTTCCTGTTGGTTGTAGTTTTTTTGGCTTCATTACTGGCCAAATATGCTCTAGTCATAGCATCAGTAATTGAAGTATTTAATATTTCTAATTGCCATGTATTGTGGATAACTTTGGGGCAGCATTTGACAGCCTCCTCCAAGTTAGAACTATAGGACACCCAGTTTGTTCGCTTGGGGTCTCTATATTCCACATCATGTTGTATTCTGTCAGATATATCAAACCTGATATACCTGTGATCCGAGCATGTTTCATCAGAGACATGCCAGTTATCTATAAGGTCACTAGTCAATCGAGTCGCTAGTGTTATGTCTATGATCTCAATCCTAATTCTATTACAAAAGGTAGGCTTATTCCCCCTGTTCAGAATATCAAGATCATATTTAATAATAGTCTCTAAGAGTTTCTCACCTCTTGAGTTGGTGTTTGTGCTTCCCCAGATCTCGTTGTGTGCATTAGCATCCAGGGCAGCAACAATTTCCTCCTTACTCTTTAATAGTTCATCCATTCCTTCTGCAGGTTCTGGATGTTCATATGGCAGATAAACCGCCGCTATGATTAGTGATTTGTTATACCCTTGTTGGGTATATTTGGCTGCTGCAAGATCTCTAGAACAAAATTGCCATAGAGGCAGCAGTTATCTAGATGATTTACTGCCTCCAGTATTTCTGAGGCAGACGGCTCAGTGTTGGGTTTTTTGGCCTGGTCGCAATTAGGGCATACCCATGTTTTTTTGTGTGTGTTTTAGTGCTTCGATGTCTTTATCATTTAAGTTGAAACACCTACTATGGTAAGTAATTTTACATTTTACACAGTTAATGTTGTTTTTGTCCTCGCGTGCAATAGTATTATTGCAAATATTACACTGCACCATATTTTATGAGAAGTAAATAAATTAAAATATAAATAAATACCGGTCGGTAGATAGTTGTTGAAGTGATGAAAGCAGTAAACAGCGTGTCTAATGCCGTAAGGATTAGTAGAATATTACAGTCCCATACTTCTAGGAAATCAGTTAGTGTTATGCACATTTTTACGTAAATATACGTCACTTGAATCAGTGAACACTAATAATGTTCTAGAATAATAGAAAAAAAAAAACTGAAATCAAGATGGACTGTAGTGAAGATTAAAATAAAGAAAAACTGTGTAGGTATAAGATAATTATAGCGATGTTCATGTCTCTGGCCAGACTGATACATACACTATTTTATTGTACTTGTATGAAAGAACTAAAATATAAAAATATTTCATGGATATGTTTATAACTTCAAATATATTTACTGTAGTTTAGTAACTCTATATCTGATATATTTAAATAATTAGGTACCTATTGCCCGTTGATTCCGAAAAATCATCATGAAAACTTGGAAAATTAAATTAGAGAATAATTTGATGAATTTTCTCTTTGTGATATCCCAACACTATCCACTTAAAATTAGTGTGACAACTTTTGATCTATCTATGACAGGCAATGCAAATCTCGTAATTCCATTTTAGTAAACTTTCCATTGGAAAATAACAGTTGATTAATTAATAGTCGAACAATCCATAATCAACGGATTGTACAATCCATAATCTACGGATCGTACAATCCATAATCAACGGATCGTACAATCCATAATCAACGGATCGTGCAATTCATAATCAACCGTTGATATAATAAATAGGATTTTTGTTATTTTAATGGTATTAATAATTTGTTAGCTGTAAGCTTTAGCTCGGCTAAAAATGCACTTAACAAATTTTATATTAGTCCAATATTGCCAAAAAATAATTTATATTCAAAGTAGAGTGGTAAGTGAAAGTTGTGTATGTGTGCAGCAAATTTTTTTTTTTGAGATAGCATCATATCCAGCAAAATTAATAACATCAATACATTTTTTCTCCCTGGATAACAAATTAATTGATTACTTTTATTTATTTTTTAGAATCGACTCCTTCAAATGTTTCCTCAAAGACCACCAAAGTTGACTGTTATTATCGTATCAAAACGTATTCAGACAAGGTTTTTTCTCCAGGATGGTGTAGATAAACAAGGTTCACCATACTATGTAAACCCTCCTCCCGGGACAATCGTTGATGACGTGGTCACCCGACCTGAGAAGTAAGTCGATATCAATCTCATCAGTGTTGTTTATAAATAAATTGAATTATTTATTTGTATTCTTATTTCTTTTATATAAAATTTGATCACTTTTATTCTATAAAACAATGTTGAGAATTCAAATCAAATTTCTTGCCATTATCAGTGTCCATTCCCCACTGAATTCTAACCTTCTTCATTGGAAGAGTATACTTGTCCCCCTACCTCTGATATGTTCACATCTCATCATAACAATTGCTTCAGAAGTTCCATTCTTTTCTTTCATCATTTCCAAAGTGTTACATTTCTTACTATCATCGTTCAATTCATCAATTTTTAACTAATTTTCGAATGCTTTCAGTATTTTTCTCAGAGGTCTTGCAGAATCTTTAGCCATTTTTCTATTTCTTTGTCAATCTTTATTCCCTTCAACACTTTTTCTTCTGCATATGTTGAATTCAATTTTAGAGTCTTAATTTTCTTTAACAAATAGTTATTTCATGAAATTAGGCTTGGAAACTGAAAGCTCATATTCTGAGAGGCTCTAATGTTGAAAAATATTTGTAAAGATGGGTGGTTTGTTATAATACAAAAAAAAAAGTTTCTGTTACTATTCTGTATTTTTAACTAGTATCTTATTATTTTATTTTTTATAGAAAACATCTTAGATGATGCATAGAATCTTAATTCTTAATATGCTTATTATAGTTGCTGATGTTTTGACCCAAGCTTGTGGGTCATCAGGAATAAAATTAAAATTAAATCAAAAATAAAAGAAAAAGAAAAAGACAAAAGCAAAAGCAAAAGTACATATTATATAATTATAATAACTAAAATAAATTAAGGTATTTATCAAAATGCCGGGAAATAAATGGTATCCAACTGACACATAGCAAGGAAGTAAAACACCTTGGAGTCATACTGGACCATAAATTGTCATGGACTAAACATGTTCAGTACATGACAAATAAATCCCTCAAATGCCTATGGGCCTGTAAAAGAGCAATAGAAAAAAAGTGGGAACTCAAACCTAAAATGGTTTACTGGCTGTATATATCGACAGTCAGACCCATTATATTATACTCAGGGGTCCTTTGGTGACACAAAACAAAGATTGTAGTTAACTCAATCTTATTAGGAAAAATTCAAAGACTAGCCTGTATGATGATAACGGGAGCAATGGTCTCCACACCGGCTGCGGATAATGTTCAACATGCCACCATTGCAGTTGGAGATGGTGGCTCGATCAACAAATACATTATACAGAATGAGTAATCTAAAGAGTTGTTCCGCTGTCCCTTGTCAAGGGATTGGATGTGACGAAGTTTTAGCCATGCACTCCGATATCCTAATCTGTGAGTATCTAGACTGCAAATACAAGTTCGAGATAAATATCAGCAGACAGCACAAACCAAAAAATGGTGTAAATTGTTATACAGATGGCTCTCTAATAGCCTATGGCTCTGGAGCATGCATCTATCATAAAGATAACAAAGAAAAAGACTCAATACCTTTTGGCAAATACGCTTCAGTATTTCAATCCGAGGTATTAGCAATTTGCCATTGCGCTCAAAACCTACTGCGAAGCAAACTGACTGGGAAAAAGATTATAATCTATACTGATAGTCGGGCAGGGATAGGTGCTTTAAATAATTATTATGTATACTTAAAGGTTGTTAAAGAATGCAGTATAGCACTTAATAATCTTACTGAGCTTAATAGAGTTGGCGCCTGGTCTCTCGTGCATTCTAGGCAATGAAGAAGCAGACAAACCAGCCATGTTAGGCTCATATACTATTCCCATAACTCCTGAACCTGTCTGTGGAATCAGTCTTAGTACTGCCAAAAGTAAGACTAGGGAGATGTATGGTGACAAATTTAAACAACACTGGGCTGAGAAGAAACAACGACATTCGAAGCTGTTCCTTATAGGTCCATGTGATAAAAGAAGTAAACTGCTACTGAGTTTGGGCAGAGCAGCTCTTAAAAAGCTTACAGCGATCTACACAGGCCTCTGTAAGTTAAATTATCACATGTTCAATCTCTGAGTTACGACGAACCTGCTATGCAGATTCTGTCAGGAGGAGAACGAAACAGCCTGTCTCATCGTCTGTCGATGTGAAAGGCCTTGTGTCTGTGAAAGCTGCAAGTCGATAGATTTGCAAGGCTTAGACTGGAGCTATTTGGGGAAGAACGGATGGATCGTCCCAGTAGCAATGAGACTGTCAATCCAAGAAGCATATGAAGATACGCGGAAGTGATAAAAATAACGTTTTAAGAATAAAACAAACTGCATAATGGCACACAATAGATCCAGTAAGGGTCGCGATGCTTTAAGCCAATTAATAATTAAAAAAATAATAATAGTCGTAGGGAAGTTCTGTGAGAGAAGTCTCGACAGAGAAAAACCTAAGAGTAAATGGAAAGATAATGTACTGCACGATCACAAGCACACTCATGTCAAAACGAGATGGCCACCTGCTGTTGATCAAGCTCTGTTGACCCACAAAATTGGGTTGAAAGGTCGACAACCATAATAAACATATTATGAATTAAAATGCTGATTATTTATCATCCGAGATAAGGTTTACGAGGGTGGTCTGAAAAGTTTCCGACCTAACAAAAATACAAGAAAGAAGAAATTTTTTTTATTTTTCGACATAGTCCCCTTGTAACTCTAAACACTTCTCCCAGCGATGTTCCCATTATTGGATACCCAATGGTGCATCCAAGTTTCATCTAAAGTAATTAATTGGTGCCAAAACTTGGATATATTGCACCTAAACTGCACCAACAGAGTGTTGGAAATGTTCATTAGAACACATTTTTGATCTAATGTGAGAGCAAACGAGGCAACCAATGTGCGGACAGCTTTCTCATATCTAAATAATAATTGTTTGATTTAATATGTAATAAATATGTTCATAACCTCTGCTATCTCTCTCACTTTAATTCAGCGGTCGTCTATCACCATTTGCTTAACTTTGGCAATGTTTTTGACGGTAGTTTCAGTTTTTGGATGTCCCGAACGTTCATCGTCTCCCAAGCTCATATGGCCACATATATATTCGGCTGCCCAAAATTTCACTGTGGTAAATGACGGCGTAGAGTCCTCATACATAGACTCCAACCAATCTTTGATTTGCATAGGCGTGTTGCCTTTTAAAAACAAATATTTAATGACAGCTTGATACTCTATTGTGTCCATTTTCACAAAAACACTCATATCAACACTCAAATGACTGTTACATAAAAACTGCGTGTCCAAAATAGTTGAAACTTTGGTGGGTAACTTTCAACAGATGAGCATGAAATTCACTTGCTTTTATATATGAATGCTGCAATCTTCACATTGCGGTCGAAATCTTTCCAGACCACCCTTGTAAATCAGTAAACAAAAATCCATCTCTAAATTATCATGAGATTATTTATAATAACTTAGATTAATATTTTTTTTTTTTTTTTGTACTAAATGTATTCCATACTAGAATCATTTTTATTTTTTTACAGGTTTGATTTTTTCTTGGTATCACAATCAGTGCGTCAAGGTACTGTGACTCCTACAAACTACAATGTTATCTTTGATGAAAATAAACTGAGGCCTGATCATGTTCAGAGGATGGCGTACAAAATGTGCCACTTGTATTATAATTGCACTGTAAGTTTATTTTAATTTGTATATAAAAATTTTTCGTTATTAAGGGTTTCAGATTTAAAACATCAACAAACACGTGTCGTTCATTTTACAAATTGCATTAGTAAACTTTACTTGCCAGAAACAGTATATGGACCAGCAATATGAATGTGTGGATCAATATCCTCTTCCTAATGGTGTCATATTCTCTAAAAGCCGAATCATATTCTGTTGAAATCTAAAAATATATAAGATATAACGTGTTTAATAATGAAAGGCCCTACTATCTAGTACCTATTATTTCTCATTAGTCCAGTCAATGAATGGCAAAAATATGCTCGTAGAGTGCATGGAGGATGGACAATAATTTGACTTTAAGAATTTGTTAGGAGACTTAAGAGGTAATTATACTATAACTCCCTAAACTTACCTCTTCTAACCGTAAATGTAACTTTTTACGAATTTTCTTATATATCTTGAAACCAGAGCATCTTAGATGAAACATTATTGTATAAACAATTAAAGTTGATAAAATTTCTTTCAAGTAAGTTTATAATAATTTCTTTTGTATCTGTTATTGTTTTCAAGATATATACTAACTTAAATTGACAATTTTAAAAAAATTAACCATCTCACGTTTTTTGTCAAATTTGTCTTTTAAACACCATAGCCTTTCGTTCTACAAGAATATAGTCTGAAAAAAAATTGTAGAATATAGGTTTTTTTTTTTTTTAATTTATATGTCCTCTATTAATTTAACTTTTATGAGCCTAAAGTTAAGGCAGTCTTAAATATTCTTATAAATTTTGTCAATGATTCTTAATTCATGTTCACCGTTTATGCATGAAGCGTGTATACTACACACTATATAGTAGTATATTTTAATCAATATATATAAAGTGAAGTAATATTATCTGTATCGAGATTATGAAGGATTTTACTTGAAATCAGAGCTACCAGAGAGATTGTATCATGAAACAATAATAATAGTAATTTATTTTTTATTTTAAGTTACTTATAAAATTTATACTTTGATTAAATAAAATATTTAATGTATCAAATTTATTTATTAGATCTTTAATAATGTAAATAACATGTTTTGGCGGGAATTGGCGCATAGCCTTCCGCTTTTATATCGGGAAACTAGGTTATTTACACTTGTGATTATTAAAACAAAACCGCGGCACTGGATATAGACTTTTTGAGGGTGTTCAACTGTTGTTGGCAATTCGGGAATCTAATACCTTTTTGACGCTCATTGAGAAGAAACAATAAGAATATATATATGAAATGTGGGACTTAGTAAATACACCTTGAATGAATTGACTCACCTTGTTTGTTATTCTTCAATTGTGAGGCCTGTAGGACAACTAAATAAAAGGACTATTCACTCCTGTCTAACAAAACAATTTATTTTAACAACTGATAATAAATGAATATATTAAAGTCTTATAACTGTAAGCTTGACATTCTTGGTCTTCAATGTCCTGCCTCTCTCATCTCAGGTAACGTCCTCTCGTCTTCGTGTCCAGGCCTCAAGTGCCCCTTCTCTCCCTCGCCGTTCTCCTGCAGCTGTTACTACCTGGTCAGACCTTTTTCCTTCTTCATCGATTGTTTATCGATATGAGACTTTTCAAAGAACAATTTGTCCACTGCACAATTGAGTACAATTCACAGTGCGACCTCACATTCCTATATATTATATATTCCTTCTCATTCCCTCACCCAATGTCACACAAAGGAGTAAATACTGGGGGATGTCTACAACAATAATTCACAGTTTATGAACCATTTAAGCCCTCACCGTCCAGTAAATTATCATAACATGTAGAAAATTAACTATCATAATTATCTTGGTTGATTTTTACTTTCCTACTTATACTAGGTAAGGATAGTATTGCGATTGGGTCAAATTTCAGATATGCGGTTTTTGACTGATCTATATGTTTCAGAGCCCCCTGAGTCCGAAAAACACATTTTTAGCCATTGGTCTGTCTGTCTGTGCCAAGATTTTCTCGGGAACTACTGAATCAATTTTGTTGCTTCTGTTTTTATTTTGTAGGGTTTTGAGTACTGATGACTGTGACACAAGTAGGATGCTTCTTACGCACTAGCTGCTGCTCAATAAATGAAAAACATTTTTTTCTATAGACTAGCACGAAAACGGCTCTAACAATGTTCTAATAATTGTCCTTTCAATTCTTGTATATGGAGTAAATTCCCTAAAAAATTCAGGAAAAAAATTTATAAAGAAAATAAAAAAGTTTTGGGACCTGACTTGCTAAGTATATATTCTATGATAAAATTTATAATTAAACTTTTGAAAGGTAATTAAATTACCAACAAAACAAAAAAAAAAAAATCATATCAGAATCGAACCAGTATTAGCGATGATACAGCTTATTCTATTTTAATTTATTACTTTCCTACATGTACTAAGGTAAGGAAAGTATTGTGATCATGTCAAATTTCCAATATGCGGTCTTTGACAGATCTATACGTTTCAGAGCCCCCTGAGTCCGAAAAACATATTTTTAGCCATTGGTCTGTCTGTCTAAAGCGTACGATAGAATAGAGGTAAAAAAGCTTCAGGACCATCAGATAAGACAGAGATATGAAGATGAACTGAAGAGAAAACTTCAGGAATTGGATGGAGAAGCTGGGTTGGAGGATGTTTGGAAACAAATAAAGGACAGTATTCTGGAGTCGGCTACATTGGTCTGCGGAGTCAAGAGAATACTTAAAAAAGGTAAACGTACTGCATGGTGGAGTGATGAACTAAAAGCATTGGTCAAGGAAAAGAAAATAGCCTGGAGGAATTATTGCAGGGTCAAAACCACAGAAAAATGGCAGTCATATGTATTGGCAAGGAATGTGACTAAGGAGGCTGTAAAAACGGCAAAGAAGAGGTCATGGGAAGAATTTGGAGAGAGGTTGAACCAGGATCACGGCGAAAACATAAAACTATTTTGGAAAAAGATCAAAGCACTGAGAGGCCGAACAAGCAAAGCAGTAAGAAATATAAAGAATGAGCAAGGAGAAATGGTCTCGGAGGACAAAAGCATCCTGGAGGTATGGAGGAGACATTATGAAAAACAATTTATCATCGAACATTTGTATCCTGGGAACAGTCAGGAGGCGCGCTGGAATGAGGCTGACTACGACGAGGTCATAGGGGAGGACTAGGTAGAGCTATTGAAAAGATAAAAACAGGAAAAGCTCCAGGACGGGATAATTTAGTTGGAGAATTTGTTAAGTATGGTGGGATGGAGTTAGTGAGGTCTCTCCAAATACTTTTTCAAAAAGCCTGGGACAGCAAAAGGATTCCTACAGAATGGGAATATATTGTCATAATTCCCATACATAAAAAAGGCTGCCAGGCTGAATGCTCCAACTACAGACCCATATGCCTGTTCTCAGTGGTATATAAATTATATACATCCATCCTACACAATAGACTGAGACCTCTAGTGGAACCGTTCGTAGGAGAAGAGCAAGCTGGTTTCAGACCAGGGCGGCAGACACAGGATCATATATTCACCCTCAGCAATATAATGCAACAATCATGGGATAATGATAAAAATCTGTACTTAGCCTTCCTCGACCTTCAAGCAGCATTTGATTCTGTCCCAAGAAGTGAAATATGGGAAACACTAAGAATAAAAAATGTTCCTAGAAGCCTGGTTGAGGCCATATGAGAAAGAAGCCAAAAGAAATAGTCAGACTGAATGGACAGGAATCTTGCTATTTTAGCATAGCTAAGGGGGTCAAACAAGGTGATAGTTTAAGCCAGCTGCTATTTATATTATATATGGATGAAATTGCTGCAATCTGCAAAAGGCGAACAGAAAAGACGTTTCTGGGGCGAAGGAATCTGCTTCCAGTTGTATTTCAGTTTCTTTTATATGCGGACGATATTGTCCTGATTGCTGATTCTGTGGAGAAATTACAGCAGGCAGTTGACAAATGGAACGAGGAGCTCCTCAGGAAGGGTATGGTCATCAGTACAAGAATGAGCAAGATCCTACAGGTTGGAAGGGTGCAGGAAGATGTTACAGTGTATTGCAACAGAGAAGTGATGGAAGTTGTGTCAGATTTCACCTACCTTGGTTCTGTTATGGATCGGTCTGGGAAAGTGGATTCAGAAATTCTGCACAGGATAATAAGCAAAACAAATGCTATATATTACCAGATCTGCAATACTGTGATCGGAAAGAGAGAAGTGAGCAGAGGTGTAAAACTGCACATATTTAAGGCGGTATACTTGCCTATACTCCTGTATGGTGCAGAAAACTGGGTGCTGACTGACAAACTTGAAAGAAAAATCACTGCTGCAGAAATGAGGTTTCTCCGAAAGATCGCAGGGAAAACAAGATGGGACTACATTCGCAATGAGAGAATGAGGGAGGAATTGGGGGTTCTACTGATGAAGGATGTCCTAAAGACTCGGCAGCTTAAGTGGTTTGGGCATGTCATCAGGATGGAAGAACACAGAGATCCATTAAAGTCTATGGACTACGTCCCCAATGGCAGAAGACCCCGCGGCAGACCGAGAATGTCGTACCTCGAATACGTAGACCGCCTGTGCAAAAATAGAAATAAAAATATATGCCAAGTCAAAAATCTTGCAAGAAACAGGGAAAATTGGCAATTCTGGTTAGACGCTCCCCTACGCTGAAAGGCAATACAGGGTGAAGCAGAAGAAGAAGGTCTGTCTGTCTGTTTAGCGTGTTTTTTTGAAAGGTAATGAATTCCCTACAAAACTATATAAAAATTGTTCATTTTGCACAACTATTAACGAAGTTACAGCTATTCAAAATCCAATCTAAGATTACGGGTACATAACCTGGTGTCAAAGGGAAGAATGAGGGAAAAAAGATAACTTAGTGAAAGTAAGAAAATCTGTTGCCTGCATCACAATGCAAGCTTTACTATTTCCTTTACTTTTTACAGAAATTATTGTTTGAACAAAATTAGGCTATAGCAAAAAGTTTTTGATCAGTAATATTAGAGGGTATTGAAAT